ACACTGGGGTGAGGGGACTCAAGATATACTGTCAAATTGGGCCGGCCCGGTGGCGCACTGCTACAGTGCGCCACTTGGGAAGCGCGGCGGCGCTCCCGCCGAGGGTTCGGATCCCACATACAGACCGGCCGCTCACTGGCTGAGCGAGGTGCGGGGGCAACACCGAGGGTTGCGATCCCGTTGCCGGTCCCGGTCCGGTACGGGCGCGACACTGAGGGTTGCGATCCGTTGCCGGTCACGAAAAAAGACAAAAAAAAAAAAAAAAGATATACTGTCAAATAAAAAAAAGCAAGGTACAAAACAGTGTGTTAAAAAAAATCACTTCTTGGGTGGGGATAGCAAGGATATAAGTAAATGTATTTGCTTATATATGCATAAAGAAATTCTGAATGATATACTAAAAGCTAACAGCAATGGTTACTTTTCTGAGAAGGTGATAAATGGATGGGGAACTTTCAGAGAAACATTTTACTGCATACTTTAAAATTTTTGTTAGCCATGATAATCTACTGAAATAATTCTTTAATTGGCCTTAAAACTGGAAATGTAAGTAGAATTGTAATTTGAAAAATTGCTACTGGGTATTACTATTTTGGGTGCTGTATTCTAACTCTGCACACTAAAGTTAAAAACTGAACAGCTCATTATCCCTTCATTGTGTTTGATGGATCAAATTAGACAAAAGAGGTTGTTAATAGAGCTATATTAACAAAGTTCTAAAATAAACATTATCTTCAAGATTTTAAAGATATACAGAAATAAAACTATATTATTTTCTACAAAAACAGTATGCATGTCTTACACTTGTAAATTTTGTTCAACACACATAAAAACTAGCATTCCTCAAAGAGATGATACATACTTCCCTGACAAATTGCTTTTATCTTTCATAATATCACGATTTCACCATTCCCATTAGCAAATATAGAAATCTCTACAGCAATAACCTGTCAACTGTAGTTACTATTCTGTAACTGGTATTACTAAAGTCTTACCCTTTAGACCAACTCTGCTACAAAATGTGTTTTCCTTGTGTTCTATGAACAAAAACACTTTGGCAAGAGAAAACATGAGGACAAAAAACAATAGTGAGAACTGAAAACAGGGGGTATGGGGAGACCTTATTTTTAAAATTCCGAGAATTAGAATTGCATTTCAGGGCCAACCCTGTGGCGCACTCGGGAGAGTGCAGCGCTGGGAGCGCAGCAACGCTCCCGCTGCGGGTTCTGATCCTATATAGGAATGGCCGGTGCGCTCACTGGCTGAGTGCAGTGCAGACTACACCAAGGCAAGGGTTGCGATCCCCTTACCAGTCACGAAAAAGACAAAAAAAAGAATTGCATTTCAAAAAAGAATATACTATGATTTTTAAAAGAAATAATATAAGCTAAGTATAAGGAAAAACTTAAGAGCACTCTGTATTTCTACTAAAAAAGCATATGAAAAGTTATTCCACGTAACTGCTTCAGATCCCTAAAGAAAATTTCTGATGTCATCCACTGACAAATACTTCTAAGCAGCATTGATTTTGACTAATGGGAATATATTACCTAAGACACATTTTCTTAAATCTGAACTTCAACCAATCCAAACTGAAGCAATTTGGATTTTGCCAAACTTTTACACTGTATTTACAAATTAGAAAATATTTCTATAAGAATACGTAGTTCTAGTCAGTAGATTTCCATGAAGGACATGGCCCATGTTAAGTATTAACCTTATCTTTACCCCACCCATTGAGCACAGTACTATAGAGGCTCTTTTAGGCACCCCCATAGTAGACCTGCTGCCAAAACAGACACGAAAGGTAAGCAGTGAATGGTGGGAAGATGATTGTAGCAGAGGTCAACCAACAGTTCTATGCCAAGCTTTTTAACAAAAAGCACATATTTTGTTACACAAAATATTAGTAAAAGTAGAATCATAACACTGTATCTGTTGATATTTAAAAAAAAAGATAAGCACTCAATAGTGCTGGGATTACTGCTAATATTATATCCAAATGTGAATACCAAATTAAGTGGACTTGATTAGGAACGGGTAAAAATAAATTAATACATATAACTGCATATGTTGCTATATTTCCTGTACAATCTTATTATAACCACCCCTCCCCCCACCAAAAATAATAATTTCATGGCTACCATTCCCTGAATTGCATATAAAAAGACCATGATGGTTCTTTGCAATATCAACTCTTCAAACACCCAAAACCTGGATAAAACAGTGGTTGTTACTAGTTTAGAAATTAAAATCCCACCTGAAACACAACTTCCTGAATACCACATGCAATTTTGTTGTAAAAGTACTACTGATTTCACAATATGCTGCTATTCTCCTCAAAGCTGAGCTATAAATTCAACTTATAATAGAGAAATGTGAAAAGAGAAAATAGCTCCCAGACCAGGTTTCTCAATCACTACAAACCTGACTGTAAAAGATGACAAATTTCATGAAAGGTATATCATTCCTTGAGGCTTTTTAGGAAATAACTACCTAGCCTTCTTTGGAACACCAAATGTGACACTTGATCCTTTCTAAAACTTCCAAAAAGTTTTAAATATTTATCAGTACACAAGCAAGTATGAGACCATGTGGTGTGCATGCTCAAAACATGTTTATGTTCTGATAAAGAAAGTGGAGCTTTATGAATGTCAACTAACATATTCTACCAATGAGAAGTATCGATTAGGTTTTCTAAGAAAGGTAATCACTACTAAAAGCAAGAATGTCATACAGATATCCAAAACTGCTAAGAATTAATAAAAGAGGGGGAAAGGGAAAGAGAGAGAAGAAAAAGAAATTAAGAGATGGGTTTAATGAATCATAAATAGCTTAATATATAAAAGAGATAGAGAACACACTACACGTAATTTGTGTACAAAGAAATAAGAATCCCACCAAAAGCCCTAAAGAGAAATGGACAGAGTTTTAGAAAATGATTTGTTAATGTGCAGTTTATATGTCACGTCTTAGCAGAAACACTAATGTACATTAGCTTTTAAATATTTGATATGGTAATCATTCTAGTGAAAATAAACTGTGCAGTAATAATAACAATAGTACTAGTAGTAATACTAGTAGCAATGATATTAAAAATAAGAAGAAGAGAAAGAAAATGAAAAAAAGAGAATGAAGAGGAAAATGGGAGATAAGGCATAAGTAGAATTAGTGTGTTCACGTGAGATCTCAGAGCATGAAGAAGAGATAGTGAATAGAAGAAACTTCAAAATGCTAAATAGACTATGGAAACAGAAGACAATTCCACAATGGAATCAAAGATTTAAAATAGAGCATATAAATGTATCTATGAACAAAATCATAACAATATTAGAAAATAATATAAGAAAACATTTTGGAGATGAAGGGCTTCCTAATCAAGACAGAAAACCCAGAAGATGTGAGACATACACTGCCAAATTTGACTACACAGAAATTGAACTTTTCACTTATGGAAAACACTATATAAAAAAATAAATGTATAGCAATAGACTGGAAGAAAATATTTACAAATCCATATAATAAAAATGATAATAATTAGCATTTACTTGATACTTCATACATGTCAGATACTTTTCTAAGGGCTGTATATATAATGTTTCATTAAATTCATATAACAACCCATAATTTCTAACTCCATATTACAGATAAGTAAACTCTGGCAGGAAAAGTTTAAGTATCTTGGAAAATATCCCAAAACCAGTAAAGGAGTAGAGCAAAGAAATGAACGCAGTCCTTGGCTCTAGAACTCACACACACCTTCACAATAGAGTACATTTCCTTGCCTACAAGTTAAAGGAAAAGAATGCTGAAAGTAGTAGGATGAGCTCTCTCATCTAATGGAGATGGAACTGCTTTATTTGGAAGGCAATTTGGTAGCAGTGACTAACATTATCTATAATTTTTAAACCAAAATTTCTATTTCTACTTACCCTGAAGAAATACCCACTCATATTAGCAAAGATGTTCACTAAAATAATGTTGGTAACTGCAAAAGACTAAAAGCAACCTAAAAATTCATCAATAAAAATAGTAAATTAATTTATGGTGTATCTTTACTGTCAACACCATACAGCAGTAGAAAATAAGTGGCAAATCTCTACACATTGACATGGAAATATCTCCAAGCCATACTGTTGAGTGAAAAAACAACAGTCCCAGAATACTTAATATGATCCATTTTAGGTGTCAAAACAACAAAAATAATAAAAGAAACCTTCAAAATGTGTGTGTATATACTTATGTATGTAAATGAATTTTTTTAATAAGAATATGTACCAAACACTTTACCTTCAGGAGGTATAAGAACAGACCAAAAAAGTCATTTTCACTCTTTTTAATTCTATTGTTTATAGCTCTTAAAAAAACATAATATGGACCAACAGCCATTAGTCAAAAACTATTACAGATTGAATATCCCTAACCCAAAAATCCCAAATCTGAAATGCTCCAAAATCCAAAACTTTTTGAGCACTGACATGACACTAAAAGGAAATGCTCATTGGAGCATTTTGGATTTTGGATTTTCAGATTAGAAATGGTGAACCAGCATACTGCAAATATTCCAAAATCTGAGAAATTCCAAAATCCAAAACACTTCTGGTCCCAAGCATTTCAGATAAGGGATACTCAACTAAAAGCATGTACAGCTTTTAGTTTTATTTAAAAGCAAAAACCCACATAATTCAGTAAAGTACAAACAAATAATACTTCAAAATAAGCAACATAGTCACCTACAGTGTTTTTTGTTGTTTAAAGTACTAACTCTTTACAGGCATAAGAAACAGAGAAGCAACCTAGTTTAAGTTTACAACACTGAGAATCTTACTAAAGAGGAGAAGCCTGGCAATCATATATGTTTGGTGAAAATAGTGCTATATCTAATTCAAGTAATTTCTGGTAAAGTAAAGACAACTGGGCAGCAAAATGCCATTCATAGTCCTCTCACAAGCTGAATTACATTATAACCACTAATCAGAAAACAAAAAAGTAAACTTTACCTTTCTTGAAGCATAGATATCAAAAAATGGCTTATTTCTGACACTAAATGGTTCCTGTGTTTTGTCAATGAGCCCAGTCTTCATTTTTTCATGTCGAGGATTTATAATTTCCCGTTCTATACATTGCAGACGTATATTAAAATCACAATCTCCAACTGGCTGTGCCTGAATTAAAAAGACAATTATTTAAATTTCAACACTAACTATTTTATCAACATAATTATCAAGAATGCCACACTGTATACACTAGTCTAAGTAAATAGACTTTGGAGTTGTCCAGTGCATAGACTGCACAACCATACACGCCAGCTCTAATAAATAGTTTGACTAATTATAGAAACATATCTAAACACACAGACACACAGAGTTATTTTATAATTATAACTGCATAAAACACTATGGGAAAGTGGCATGATTCTACTCTAAGTTGATCCAAAGATTTCATATCTGAATTAAAGTATCAATATACTCACTAGTCATTTTTATTATTTATATAAATTAGTAAAACACCCATATAAAAACTAAAATCCACATAATTCAGTAAAGTACAAACAAATAATACTTCAAAGTAACCAGCATAGTCACCTACAGGGCTTTTTGTTGTTTAAAGTACTAATACTTTACAAGCATCAATAAGTAGAAGATACTAGACAAATACATCTTTGACTCTGAAAACTAATACTGCACAGAAAAAGTTTACACAATATGTTGAAATTTATACATTTATAAAATGATAAAGTTCTCTTCTAATTCCCTAATAAACTTTCCCCTTAGTGTCCTTAAACATACATGGTTTGAATCATAAAATAAAAAGAACATGTACACTTTTGTATGAGTTGAGGGTGGGGCTTGCCCTATCCATATGGTATACATGACCATAACTATAACACATCATCTGGTTGACAGTAATCATTCAGATTAGTAAACAGCACCTCAATGGCATATAAACTACTATTCTTTGCTTTTGCAATTGCATTTTTTCAATCTTCTCTGTCTTCTTCTTCTTCTCTAATCTATACTACCCAATCTAATGTTTACATAGTGGTGGCAGTACTTGCTTAAGGGGTGAACAGCATTAGATATGCCTCAGGGATATCCTTCTCTCAACTTCTGGAAGAATGACAACTTTGATACCCAGCAAAGAATAAGGAAAAGACAAAGTGAGCAAGAACTAGGTATGAGGTAGAACACGTTCTCTTTATACAAAGGCATACAACTGTCTGTAAGGGTAGTTATTGAGGAAATGTTAGTAAATAACCACACAATCCATGTGTGAGCTTTTCTATGCAACCTACGTCATCAACAAGGTTGAAAAACCTAAAATGTTAGGCTTGTTTATTAGGCCTATGAGAGGAATCCAGACACCTATACAATTAAAGTGGAACAAGCAAGCCCCCTCTTTTTAAAAAAAAGAAAAGAGTCCAACAACTATTAAAAGTTATGTAAGTAGTCTAAATTCCCTCCTAGATGCTCTCCAACTTAAAATATACATATATTCACAAATACAACAATAGATCAAAAGCAAGTTCACTTTCAAATCCACATGCCTACAGTAAAGGAAGTTCTCAATAAACAGATGTTGAATCACTAGACGAGTGGAAACATTCAATAACTATTAACTGGCCTCCCTGTTTTCAGTTTCCTCCTCACTTCAAAACACTATCCATGCTGCCGATGGAACTGTCTTTCAAAACATTTATAGTATGGTCATGTCATTATCATAATTAAAACCCTCCAATAGTGCCCTATCACATAAAGACCTAAGTTAAAATGCCTTATTCAAGTAATCTGGCCCCCCACTCACCAATCCATTTTCATTTCCTGCTCTGTCCCATACCTCACCATACATAAAGAACACTAACAAACCATCTAATACTCCTGACCTCCAAGATGCAATCCTTCAAAACTAATTTGTGTCACTTTGTCTGCAATTCCAAGCTTCAATGACTCATCTATACCCAGGATAAACTGGAATATTCCCACCTTTCTAATACCACAACATCTCTTATACACTTTTGTTGTTATACTTATGATATTATTATAATTTTTTTCTTAACACTCATATTCTCATTCAGAAAATGAGTAGTCTGAAAATTTGTTTTGATTTTAAACCCAATCCAATCAAATATCCTAGCAGATGTATATAACCTATGCATATAAATTTTTCATAATTTGTATACATGTGCCACTGTAGACCAGATATGTTACAAAACACAAAAACAAAATGAATAAATAGATTTAAAAATAAACAGAAGTTCTCTTATTTTCTTTTCAAATCCCAATGAACTGTTGTGAAAGTGGCCTTTCTCTGAAGGCCAGTACACTAACATACAAATTCCTTAAAGACAAGAAATTATGCCTTATTCGTCTCTATACATTCAATACCTAGAATAGTACTTGACATACAAAAAATGATCAGTGAAATTCTTCCTGGACAAAACAATAAACTAAGGCACTAAAAAGATTTATTATTTCAAAAAGAAATTTTTTTCTAATAGTGGCCTTGATTTGGTGATGAAAAATAAGCAAAGTGGTTAATATCAATAAACGTCCCACAGTAAATTAAATATATGATGCATTCTAATATCAGAAATATGAAAAAATATGTGACTTTAAATCATGAAATATAGTAATAGGCACACAATAAATATTTGTTGAATGAATAATTATAGACCTGAGGACCAAAAGCATAACAATCATTTTTAGAACAAAATACAGATGAATTTCTTAGACAAGACACAAAAGCACAATCTTTGAGAAGGTCTGATAAGTTTCATTTCATTGAAATTAAAAACTTCTGCACAACAATAGACACTATATGATGTATAGACATGTATCAACAGACACATATAATCAAGAAAGGGTTAACATCCAAAAATTACAACTAGGTCTGGCCAGTTAGCTCAGTTGGTTAGAGTATGGTGTTATAACACCAAGGTAAAGGGTTCAGATCCCCATACTGGCCAGCCACTGAAAAAAAAGACAACTAATTCCTACGCATAAAGAAGAAGAAAATACAGACATCCAAATAGAAAAATTCAATTATGCAAACTTGCAATTAAATCACACATCAAAAAAATTCCAAATGAGTAAAAATAAACATATGAAATATGTTCAACTTCATTGGTAATCAGGAAAAACAAACTAAAAAAGATGAAATACAGAGTTCAGTCAAGATGGGAGAATAGACGGTCCCCTGCATCACTCTCTCCCACAAATCAACCAATTTACAACTATAAAAATGTAACATCAGCCAAGTGGGGGCCGCTGGAGCTCAGGGGAAGAGGAGGAGTGACCTATGGAGCTCATGACGGCGGGAGAAACCACGATTAGAGAAAGAAAAAACCGCTCTCAGCATTTCCGGCTGCGGCTGCTTTAATGCTGGAGCACATGGAGCAGGAGCCAGCAGAAGCCACATCTGTGCCCTTTAGATGGAGTTACTTGGAGGCGGCAGGGGAGAAGAGGGCCTTGGTGGCCCCCAGGGCAGCATGACCACTAACAGGGTTCCCATGGACCCACACAGGACTGAGGAGCCAGAACAGTTGAAAAAGGGGAGCCGTTCAGAGGCCGGTGAGTCAACACAAGTGACCGGTGCAGGCCCATCCCGTGGGAAGTGTTAGGAGCATGGGCGGTGGGGGAGACGGGCCCACCAGGAGAACGCTGGGACACAGCAAGGACAGCTGATCTGCCCCCCAATCAGTACAGGGACCACTCAGAGGAGACTGGTCGGGAATGCAAAATTGCATGGGGTGCAGTTTGATGAAAAAACTCAGGCCCAGGTCAGAGTTTCTACACAACCCAGATCCACCAGGTCTCTGGAGAGCCGGAAGTATCTATAAGGTCAACCATTAAACCCTGAGCTGCACAAAAAGCCTTCCCTAGGGAAACAGCAAAGCAGCAATTTAGCTCAACCACACAGCTTAAGTACTGAATCCTACAGGAAGTTCCCCATGTTAGAAGTAAGCAAAGGACAAAAAATTAGTTCCGGCTCAGGCACACCACCAATGCCTTGGGGGCCACCAGGAGAGATGAGGCATGGAGCCAGAGGCCGGGCCCCTGCCCACAACCACTCACATCTCCAGCACCTTGGGACCCGCCCAGTAAACTGAGGCATGGAGATGGACACTGGACCCTACTCCCACATCCAGGCAAACCCTGACAGCATCTCAGGGCCCCACCCAGAGGCATTGGGCATGGAGCCAAGGACCGGACCCCCCCACCCCACAACCAGGCACACCATGCCAGTGCCTCGGGGACCTGAGGCATGAAGCCAGGGATCAGACACTCTCCACAACCAGGCACACCACCAGCACCAAGGAGCATGCCAAAAACATCTCCTCCATGAGGGTGGCCTACCACAGCCATCACAATAACCATGGCTGCCGCAAAAGCGGCTAGACACCACAGCCACCACGCAGATGGTCCGCTAGCCACTGGAGTGCACTGACACAAGGAGAGTCACCAGCAAAGATAAAGAAAAGAAGAGGATGTCTCTCTCCATAAAGCCCATTTCAGAATGACAGAAGAAGCATCTACTCTATGATAACACTGGCAGACCTGATCATACCTCTCAGCATTGGACAGATCATCTAGGCAACAAATCAAAAGAGTAACCATTATTCTTTCAGAAGGAGAGAAGAAATCTAGGGTAATTAGTGGGGGGAGTGCGGAGGGAGGGGGAAAGGGAGAGATTGGACAAGGGGCATAAAGAATAATCATGATTTGTAACAATATATATAATATTGTATTGCTAGTAATATTGATTTGATCAACATCTCAATGCTGAACCCCCCAAAAATGTATAATTAATTTTGATTCAATAAAAATTTTTTTCAAAAAGATGAAATACTATTTCACACACAAATTGTCAAAAACTTAGTTTGATAAAACCAACTGTGGCAAATTGTTACAACTACTTCTGACCTCTCAATTAGCAATGCAGCTAATAAAGCAGAAGTTATAAATCTAATCAGAATCTCCATGATGTAGTAATGAGGGACTGCACTTTTCAAAAACACTTCCCAGGTAATTACATCCCAAGAATGAGAACCACTGTCCATGAGAAACTTTCACAAGAAAAAACTCATAAAACTGTTCAATACAGTAGTAACATAATAGCAAAAATTAAAAACCTAACCGTCCATCAAAAGGAAAATGGAGAAATTCTATATAGAATGCAGTATTCAATAGCAATTAAAGTAAATGAATTAAACCTGCTCATACTAACGCAGATAAATCTCAACAAGATAATGTGGAGCAAATTTTGGGTATCACAGTACAGTGCAATGACATTTTTGTAACACTAGAAACCTTGCAAAAGAATACCACATATTTTATGGATACACCCATTGGTAATAAAAGTATTTAAAACATTCGTGGGAATGATAAATACCAAATTCAGAGTAGAGGTTGCTTCTGGGAAATAGAAACGAGAATAGGATGAAAGCATTTGCACAAGAAATTTCTATTGGATTTTTAATGAATTATTTCTTATTAAAAAGAAAATGGAGCAAAAGTATTAAGTTTTAACAAATTTAGGGGGTCAGTACATGAGTAGTCTTTACATTATTCTCTATACACTTGTGAATGCTAAAATTTTTTATATTTCTTTTAAAGTATTAGAAGGCTGTTATCTAAGACAGAGTTCCCAGGCTAAGAAGTGAGCCCACATTGAACACATACTAAAGCAGAGCTTAATTTTAGAGGCAAGAGACAGCATTTCCCCACTCAAAAAGAAACAAAGCCTCCCCTGCCCATTAGGTCTAGTTATAGGACAATAAATGTTATTTCAAGATCTGTGATAAGATTAAGCCAATTCAATTTCTTCTGAAGAACACAGTAGTCAGAACCAGAACAAAACAAAAACTTGATGTTTTCTGGCCTTAAGGTTCTTAAATCTGAAACTGTTTGGAATATAGAAATTCAACCAAAACATGAGATATGTATATTGAAATTTTCCAGGAAAAAAAGTCTTTTTGTAACGTGGATTAATGTAATTCTGAATCTTAATACTGCTATTTATTACACATTCAACACCTCACAATGTTTGTCTTTCAAGTTTCTTCATTTGTTTTGGGGTTTGTTTTTTTTAATGACAAATAAAACTTGCTAATTTTTTTTTAATCAAGTATAGAATAACTAAAACCAAGAAATTCTATTTTACAAAATGCTGTCTTATTTTATCAGAGGTAATCGTTTTTTCTTTACTCACTTGAAGTTAAAAAAAAAAAAACCTAAAGACAAAGACATATGCAAATAATAGGCAATAACAGAAAGAAAAGGAGATGTAAAAGTACTAACAAAAAGATATCCAATGAGTAACCTAACAGAGTCACAATTTTTCTTTCCCCACTATCTCTGTATTTTTAACAAATAAAATGTATTTGTTTTTAACACATTTTGTTTTAAATACATTTTATTTGTTAAAAATATATCTATTATTTTAAGGGTTCAGATCCCCCTGCTGGCCAGCTGCCAAAAAAATACACATATATGTAGATAGAGATGTATGTGTATATGTATGTATAATTTCAGTGACAATTTTTATTTTATAAATTTTATAAATTATAAAATATACTTACATTGAATTTGATTATGTCATATATCAAATATCTAGGAACAGCCTGTCCGTTTACTTTGTCAATAATCATTTCCTTGAAAGAGAAAATAAGATGTTTCTTTATACTTTAATGGAAATTTCTTTAATTGAAATACAGCATACACACAGAAAGTGCATAAATCATAAATACACAATTTGATGAAATTTCAACATGAACACACTTGTAACCAGGTAAAGTCAATAAACTGTCAGCACCCCCAAAATCCTCATCATGCATTTACTCTCTATATATATTAAAATAAAATCATATGACAATTATTTCATTATATTTTTTATATTTGAGCTACTATGCTACATTTTATTTTATGTTTGAATTACTAGGCAACAATTAAAAGTAAAGAGACTATAAATTTTAAATTCTAAAACTCAGGGTCATTTTTTTCAATAATTTTGTTTAATCACTATTACATTAAATTTTGTCATATGCCAACTGCTTTAATCATAAAATCTATAACTATATATAGCATCCTTATTATAGATTTAATTACCACATGACCCATGTGATCTTTCTTGGTTTCATGCCACTTTACTAGACTTTGATCAAAGGAAACAGGACAAGAGAATATGAACAGATCACTGCAAGTCTACCACAGCCATTAAAAAGTCAAAATAAATTCTGCACTCTGACAGGAAAGAGATGAGAACACTAAAGGATGATGACAGGTATATAATGCAGTATTTTATAAAATTTTAATTCTTAATAAACTTTTGACCTATAATTTTTTTTTCCCTCATATTCTTCCAGAAAACTAGGCAGGTTTTCTTGCTACCTAATTTCATGGCAGAAAATCCACACAAGACCATCTAAAATTACAACAGAAACATTGATTTAGAAAATATATTTTGTTGTTGTTAGATACCATTACCAATTAATTTCTTTCCTGCATATGTGTTTGTTAAGCTACAGACATTTACTTATGGTTATCATCTTTAACCAAACACTTGACATAAATCATGTTTGTTATTTTAAACTGTTCTTTGAAATATTTTTATTTAAATACTTTTATCTGAGCATTTTATGTGCTAAAAGGTGGGCCAATAACAGGTTTCAATTAATTATTCTTTCCAAAAATGTGTGGTTGGAAATTAAGTGGATTTCCAGGGTTAGACAGCAGACATCACAGAATTTCCCTCCCAAAATATCTGATGAAAATGAGCAAGAACATGTTTTCTTTTAAACACTGTTTTTTAAAAGCCAAAAAGAAAATTTATTATCAGGAGCCAAAACAAGTAAAAAGGAATAACCAAACGAGTAAGCAACTATCATTTGATCCAGAAATCCCACTTCTGGGTATATATCCAAAAGAATTGAAAGTAGGGCCTCAAATAGATATTTGCACACTCATATTCACAACAGCATTATTCACAATAGCCAAGAGGTGGAAGTAACTCAAATGTCCATCAACAGAGGAATGGATAAATAGAATATGGGTATATACATATAATGGAACATTATTCGACCGTGAAAAAAAAGAAAATCCTGTAACATGCTATAACATAGATGAACTTTGTGGACGTCATGCTAAATGAAATAAGTCGAAAGGCAAATACTCTATGACTCCACTTATATGAGGTATCTAAAGTAGTTAAATTCATAGAAACAGTAAGTAGAATGGTGGTTTACAGGGAATGGAAGAGGGGGAAATGAGAAGCTGCTTAATAGTTAAGGAGTTTCAGTTTTGCAAGATGAAAAAGTTCTGAAGACCTACAGCATAATAAAGTGAATATACTTAACACTACTCAACTGTACATTTAAAAATGGTTAAGATGGGGGTGGCCTGTTAACTCGGTGGATTAGAGCATGGTGCTGATAACACCAAAGTCTGGGGTTCAATCCCTGTACTAGCCAGCAGCCTAAATAAATAAAGAGATAGACAGACAAATATTAAGATGGTAAATTTTATGTTATGTGCTTTTTTTGGTGTTTTTAACCACAACTAAAAGTTTAAAAAAAAAAAAAAAAAAACCATAGTTAAGAAGTGAAAACAAATTTCCACTTCTGACCAAAATGGCATAAGAGGCACTGGACTTTACTCTCCTCCCTGAAACCACCAAAGACATGGACAAAATATATGAAGCAGCAATTTTCAAGACACTGGGTATTCGTCAACAAAGGACAGTAAACAAACTAGGTGAGTCCTACAATTGCCCAGATATTGCCTGAGGAGAATTTCCAGGCTTCAGTGCAGGTAAGAGGATCACAGATGGAGCCTAGAGGTCTTCCTGAGTTGAGAAAATGAAACTAGTTGTCTAGAAAAGACCAAGGCAGCTAAAATTCTCAGGGGAGAGTATAAGAGAAAAAATTCCAGAGATCTGCAAATGAACCCCCTCAAATATTCAGCACAGTACCAATCAGTGCAGACATGTGAGGATACTACCCAAGGCCAAACAAAGAACCAGCCAAAAGTCTTGGAACAGTACGGGACAGGAATAATACCTGTTTCTACCAGTTAAACTAGAAAATCTCATAATTCACAGGTCACCAAGTACTGAGAAAGATGTGTCTCAGTAGTGAAGAAGAATTGTCTCTAGACTAAATAATCCTCTGGTCCACCTAGGAAATCTTAAAAGCAAGACCCAAAAGGAACAAATTTGTTCCAAGTAAATTAACTTCATTCCATAACAAAGTTCAAGAAAATTCACAGAACTACAAAAACAGCCTCCCCAACAAGGTAAAATTCAAAATATCTGACATCCAATCAAATATTTCAGGCATGCAAATACAACCCAAAAAAAGGAGAACAGTCAACTGAAACAGGCTGAAAACTGACAGCGACGCTAAAATTACCAGGTAAGAACACTGAGAGGCTTACTATCTAGTCATATATTGTTAAAAAAAAAAAAAGATCAGGCATAGAAGACATAAAAAAAGACTAAGAATGAATTTCCAGAGCTGAAAACTACAATGTCTGAGATGCAAATGCATTGTTTGGGATTAATAGCAGTTTAGACAGTCAGAAGAAAAAATTAGTAAACTTGAAGATATAACAATAAAAACTACCCAAAATGAAACATGGGGGGCAGGCCCAGTGGCGCACTGTGCTAGTGCGCTGCTTGGGAAGTCGTTGCCGGTCCCGGTCCGGTACGGGGGCGACACTGAGGGTTGCGATCCGTTGCCGGACACGGAAAAAGACAAAAAAAAAAAAAAGAAAAAGAAACATGGGGGGAAAAAGTTGGGGTGTTTTTTTGTTTTTTTGGGGTTTTTTTGTTTTTAAAAGAAAAGAACATTAGTAATTAGATCTCTGTAGTGGGAAAGGGTAGAAATAATGGCAAAATTTTTTCCACTTTTGATGAAAACTGTAAACCCAGATTTTAAAAAGCTCAATAAACCCCAAGCACAAGAATCCTGAAGAAAACTACAAGACACAATACCTCTGTATCCCTCAAGAACTTATTAAAAATTGCTCCATTGCCTTTTAGATTAAATGTTGCTGTGGAGAAATCTGAGACTTGAATCCTTCACTATAGCCCCCACCAAAAAAAAAAAAAAAAAAAAAAAAATTCTGCATGTTTACTTTCCCATCCTCTACACTTTTCTATATTTTCTATATTACTATATTTTCTAAATGTCCACAGACATCAAACCCTTCTGCCTATCCATCTGATATTTCCTGAGCCCAAACTATGAAGCAGGCGTATTTCTAAGCGCTGGAGAAATAAACATACATTTCCTACCTTCGAGAAACTTAACAGTCCTAAAACAAGAGGAAAATATATAACTGGCTGGGTTCAATAAAAAGTTACAGTATTAATGACAGATGGCTATACAAATAGAATGACCATGTACCTTACTGTCCAAACCAGGATACTGTTGAGAGTGAAATAGACTGCTATTAATAATTATAATAAAACAATAGGTGTATAGCTGTATTATCCCAACCAAATTAAGACATATGGTATATGCCTAAGTAGACATGGTTACTTCTAATTGAAGAATAAGAGGAAGTTTAATAAGGTACATAGCCATTAGTTGAATCCTGAAAAATATATAGGACATTTTCTAGCAGGAAGGATTTTAATGAGAGGAATTAATCTCTCTCCTCTCATTAACAGATCTCTGGAAAACCTGAGGGCCTTCAAAGCTCATCTCTGTAACTCATTCCTTGAAATCTTTCCAATAAGGCTCCTTTGGTTCTAGGTCACGAAATGTTCTGGAATCAGATAATGCTAATGGTTGCACAACCTTGTGAGTATACTAAAGAGTATTAAACACCTTAAAATGGTGAATTTCATGGTATGTGAATTATATCAATTTTTAAAAATAAAACTAAATTAAAAAAAATACTAAAAGCAGTTCTTCGGATCAAAGGGAAATGATTGAACCCTAAATACACAACATATATTAAATGTCAGCTACGAGGGTACTTCAAAAAGTTCACGGAAAGACATGCATTATCTTTTAACTCTATTTTTCCACAAACTTTTTGAAGTACCCTCATATGTACATATGAGCTATAAATATTGTGTAAATATAGGCACAAAAAGCTAGGAAGGGAGGAAGGAAGGAAGGACAGACAATCACAATAATACACTGAACTTTCAAGAGAAGAGAACAGAACAGAGGTCACCAGAAGTGGGAAGGAGGAGAAGGAGGAGGAGGGAAAAGGAGGAATTGGTAAAGATGCACGAAAATCAAGTACATTGTATAATGAAGAATATACAAATTATCCTGATTTGAACATCACATACTGCACACAGATATTGATATTCAATGCTCTATCCCATAGGTATGTACAATCAACTATGTTCCAATAAAAAAATAAATTAAAAATAAAAAAATAGGCACAATAAAATGACTGAAAGGAAATACATGAAAACATTAAAATGTAATCTCTGGGCCGGCCCGGTGGCGCACTGCTACAGTGCGCCGCTTGGGAGCACGGCGGCGCTCCCGCCAAGGGTTCGGATCCCACATACAGACCGGTTCCCGCTCACTGGCTGAGCGAGGGGCGGGCGCAGCACCGAGGGTTGCGATCCCGTTGCCGGTCCCGGTCCGGTACGGGCGCGACACTGAGGGTTGCGGTCCGTTGCCGG